TCCAGCCATTCTAGAGCGTCATATACTGTGCAAGGCCGTCATCATGATAAAATCGAAAGGTAATCCATCCTCATCCCCTATTGCCGAATACCTGATCCCATGAGGGTCTAACGGGAACTCTTTTTTAATTGTCCTTTGTAATACGTCCCAAAAGTAAACTGCTTCCCAACAGTGCAGGAAAACATGGTCAATAGTTTCCGGTTTCTTACTAATTAGACAGCGAGATCCCCAAGGTATATAAAACCCACGCTCCTTTAGGAAGGTTCTTACAGGAAATGTTCCGGTGTGTAATTTAAAAAAGAACATTTTTGCACTTGGAGCTGCCGGCATTTTTTTAACTCGTTTAAGTACATTCTGACCCTTGCGAGCTGTATATAGCGCTCTGTACAGTGGGATGGGGAGCACAGTGTCACATAAATCTTTGTATAGTTTTTTTTTTTCCAACAGACCACAGGTAGTCACTTGAAAAACGAACACACAAAAACCACACGCTGGCCACAACTTCCTTCATGAATCCTTGCACAGCCCTTGTGGTAACATGGCTGCTCACAACAAGCTCATGCAACAGTCTACTCAGTCTTGTTTGACACACTGTTAGTAGGAAAGGATCTCTTGTCTCGCGAAAAAAGAAAAACCTACTTACTAACTGCTTGATAAACAGATGTCATAGTCCAAGGCCTCCACACCTCACCCGTCTTAACAAATTCGTGCGACTGCACCTTTCAGTGTTAGACCCCCACACAGATATTGCAAAGACCCGGTGTAATTTTTGCACATTGACCCGGGAAAAGTACAGCCCTTGCATCACATACCACAGCTTAAACACAAAAAACCGGTTGCATGAAAAAAAAAAAAAAAAGAGGCGTGGCCGTGTGGTAGAACATGCACTTGCCACGCAAACGACCCGGGTTCGATCCCCATTGTGCTGCAGGATGTTTTTATCATTTATCTATATTATTTGCATCATTCTCGATTTTCCGCTCACGCATGAAATGATTTGTCGCTCACATCGACATTTCTGCAAAACAAGCTCTTTAGCGCCATCGCGTTAAAAAATCGTGGTGACTGAAATCGCGCGCTTGCTCTTCCTCGGTGTCTACTCCCAGCTAAGTACACCTTCGAATATAGCTCCCCACATTCCACTCCTCAGCACTAGCGATAAAAAGCACTTCGAAACACCGTACAGCAGAGCTACTGCGGCGGCGGTGTTGTGGAAGCAGCCGGCGAAACAAGTTCTGCTGCTACCACGCTACGCAGAAGATGGCCTGCCGTCGAAAACTGTCCGTGCCTCACTTGTCGGAAACGTCCAGCTTCAAAAAATTAAAGAAGTTAAAGATAAAATAAAAACCACTCCAGGTAACAGGCCCACTACCGCATTTTTTTTAGGGGGGGGGGGGCGGGACACTTGCTCGAGATTTTTTTTTTAAAAAGTCATATACTTTTTTCTTCTATAAAACACCCAAGATATTAGCGAAGGTGGATTGGGGGGCGCCCTTTCTGGCTACGTGCCTGTGTGAGCGACGATAAATAAAATTAGGGGACACTAAACCTTCAGCAGTTGACCACGATTGCGACGTCCTGTTCCGTACTTCAAACACTTGGTGCATGAAAACATTTCGAATTCGCTATGCACCTTGAAGGAATAGGCGCAGTAGCATGAGTGCCTTTTGTAGTGGGGCACCGGCTTTCAACTACGGATCCATTATGATAATCGCATATTCTGACGCCCGTTGGCAATGGACGCTTGCAGCACGCATTATTACTGCAATATTTCATGTTGCACTGTGTATACAGGACGCGTGTATTTGTAAAGCATGAAAGCTACTTTCACAACATTTCCAAAGAGATTTTTTTTTTTTCAGTTTTCACAAGCAGAGGCGGGACCGTGCGGTAGAACATCGCTTGCCACGCAAAAGACCCAGGTTCACTCACTAGAACCCAAACATCCCTGGTTCAGTCGCCACTCTGCTACAGGATTTTTTATCATTTGTTTATTTTATTTGCATCGTTCTCGATTCTTCGGTCACGCATAAGATGATTTTTCGCTCACAACCAAGGACGCCAGCATTTCTGCGAAACGAGCTCTTCAACGCTACCGCATTAAAAAAAGTGTATATAAAATATGCATATGTGGCCAGATTAGGTTGGCGTCAAACGCGTGAGGAGGCACGAAATGCAAGGTTGAAAGCCATTCGAACAATTTTGTCCCTTTGGTAAGATTTGGAGCGAAAGAACAAGGAGGACATGCGCCATCTTTCGACACTGAAATAGTCCACCGAAGCATAAAGAGCAAAAATTACCCGACAGAGCTAGTTCTTTTTTTTATTTATCACGCTCTTATTTTTTTCTTTATACAATGCTGTGGCGCGTGAGCATCACCACAGCGTGCTTCAGCGGCAATAAAACATTTTGTTGCAATTTAGCGCACGTATGTATAATTATTATGCACATATATGTGGCTACAATAGTCCCCACTTGAAGGAAAGTAAATGAAAGTGACGCGTCCCTCCGTGTATTTCATTGCGCTAAATAATGACCTTTGTGTCTTACCAACAAGGCCGAATTCCTTGTTGTAAATCGCGCTCGCGCGGAGTTGTCTTCCATGCTCGCGACACTAAGCGTGGAAGAGTACGACGAAGAGATCAAATGCACGTGCAGTATAATGCCAACGGTTTGCTGGTGAACGATTGTTCGCCATGTTAAAACGGCTTAGCACTCTGCACCAATAAACCTGGTTGAATTGTCTTTTCTTTCATTCCTCGCTCTGGCATATTACAGTTCCTAAACACGAAGGTTGCCATCTGGTTCTGCTGGCTTGCCCTCAAGGCAAGTTACGAACGAGGGACACGAGAACACACAGGGCGCTAACCTTAAAGTTTATTTCAGAGCACAGTGACAATGGATTTTTTTTTTTTGCACTTTATGTACAGCCACCCATTTTTTTCTTTCCCTGAACGCGCCGACGAAATCAATGGGAGTACGTGCGTGATGAACGGTCCTAAGGAACGCCATCAAACATGCACACAACCACTCACACCAAGCAATTTCTGACAATACTATCTTTCAACTGCGACATGTTAGGCGCTTCAATATTCAAACGCGTCACTTTATTTCTACTTATGGCGTCAATGGTGCACTTTTCCGACATAGGTTCGCACCAGCATCTCCATAAGGAATGGCAAAGAAACCACCTGACCTATTTTTTTTTTAATAACGCTACTCGCGTGCTCACGCAGCCTGTCAACATCCCGACCTGACTGCCCTACGTAACAGTAGCCGCAACTTAAAAGGTACGCAATGCGTTCATTGCATGCCACAAACATGGTGTGATGTTTTTTCCTCAGCATAGGCGCACTATTTTGTTACAAAAGAAGGCTCATTTTGCTCCGAAATGAATTTGTTGAAAGACCAGCGTCTCTTGCGCGCAACGTTACGGTTGGCAGAACTTTCGAGGCAGCAAAAGCGCAGTGACAGCTGCACGTATCAGTGGTCCGAGAACGCCGGGGCGAGAAATTTTCTTGGGAGAAACAGGGCCGCCGCGAGAGAACCGGTTTGCACACCCAGGAGCAAACAACGCCCTGCCGCTGGCCCCGAACGGCCCATGGCGGACACCGCACTGGACGCCCCCGTTGGTCAACTGGCCCCCCGAGCTGGTGAACGAAACGCTATGCGATGCAATCGAAAAATATTCACAAAGCAGACTAGGTGGTTCCTTGCGAGAAAAAACGCGTGAACAGTTTGTGAAAGAATTGCCGAACCGCATATTGCGATACTATTACTATTCATTGTATGACTGTTGTTTACGAACTCATGTACCCACTACTGCTATGTCTCGTCTAGCGAGACAGTAGTATTTGTAAACAAATAAAAACTGATTATATGCACTCATCTATCCATCTAGATTGTTACAGGACGTCCCAGCGATTTGGCAATATTTTTTTACACTGTTTAATGCGCTTGCGCATAAGCTTTCTTGGTGTGGCGTTCTTCTTGCAAGTGAGCGTCTTTTCTGTCGTGTCTCCTTCCTTCCCAAATTCCGCACTCCCATATGCAAGATTGCATTGAGTTTAGAATATGCATTAAAATTACCACACAATGACGACAGGAAAGTAGCGGAGTGTTACTAGTAGTAAGCGTAAATGTGACGGAAAGTAAAACTGAACGATGCTCCACAAATTGAGCAATAGCGGCTACAGCGCAGCGTAGGTGCCAACAGAATGTTACCTTTTCGTTTACCTCGCGAAATCGCTGCTATCATTGTACATTAGTTCTCAGTAGCATTGCGTCTAACACGAGCTTATTTACTGCTTCTACAAAGGCAATGTCCAGACTTTTGAGTCGGTACGTGCACTCTAAAATGATCATGTGACCTTAATATCAACCACAACAAACGGCGCGCTGCATTTGGCCGACACATCGCCTCCTCCTAAACGGTGGTCTGTGGCCGCATCGCTTGTCGCGACCTGGCATCAAACGAACTCGAGCAGGCGCACACGGCCAGCGTTTCACATGACTCACCAACTAGCACACGTTGCAACTGCTGCGGACAACAGAAACTGTCTGTTAGACTTCCTTCGGCCGCGATACGAAGCGATCACGCGTAATCTTTCCAACACTTGACACTGTCGCGAAGCATCTCTCGGGCGTGGATTCCAAGCGCGTTTCGACATCTTGCGACTATGCGCGTACTCACTCACGTCGACAGCCCGCTTCGACGTTCAAGTTACACCAAACGAGAAAACTAAACCTGGTGAACGCAGGCGGACTACTTAATCTAGATTGCGATATGCGAACTGCGTCGGGCAAGGCACATGCTACTGGATTTAAACAATGCATCCCACTTCGCCCATGGCTGCTCCAAATAAGATAGCCGGAGGACTGCTAGTTGGAACAACACAGATTAGTTTCCTGCGACATTCAGGCCATACGCGATAGCGAATGCAATCTCAGCAGATGATGATGGCAACATCGCGCATAGCGGAAGTGCATTGCCTCCTCACCTGGTGTGCAATTGGCATCTAATCTCCGTTGTTTATCCACAGAGGAGTGCCGTTTAAAATCCTGGCGCTGCACGGAGCTCTCCGGTGTTTGCTGTCATGTCGAACAAAGAAGAGCGCCCGGCCGATGCCGAGCCTGGTGATGGTGGCTACCTGTTGTTCGCTCGAGGATTGCTCGCTCCTAGGCGTCACACACACATCGGCGCGAAATCACTGGCCTCGCACTCACAGTCACACAACCGGGCACGCAACACCGTCGTCGACGATGAGACCTCGGACGCATCAGTAGAGTTGATCGCGCTCGTAATATGTAAAACACGTCGCCATCGAGCCAAGCAGCGCCCGGAAATCGACTTAAAACTCGCGCACAACTGACACAGCAACGCAGACGTCGAGCGAACCTCCGGCCGCCTTTCAAACGATCGCCCCGCAAGAAAAGTGTCCGCTAGGAGCGCCACCAACGTTGCCTCCTCGCTTGCAGCACCGGAACCACTCCCATCCTACGACACATCACGCTTTCGGTGAGTGCGTTGTTACAGCCAACGTTATTGGACGATAGCTGTTCTTTCCCCAGTCTGAGGCATGGCGGGCAGAAGGTCTCCCAAAAGAAGAAGCGGCGCTGCTTGCTAGAGCCATCGTCCGCAGCAGCTTGGTGCTCTGTGAGCTTTCTTCTCGGCTCCCGACTGTTCGCGGCGGCGGTGGGGCGAAGGCGTTTGTATTTGTTTTTGTGCGCTTTTCTCTCCGCTGTGCTTGTTTTGCGATCTCTTGTTCGGCTTCAGTCGCCTGTTGTGCGTCGCGTCAATCCCCTCCCAGCAGAAAGCACTGAAGGCAGGTTAATCAAGCAAGACACGCATCGCGGCCACCTTTCCCTGCTTTCTTGGGGGCTGCTGCTACGATCCGGAAATGAAAACGTGTTGCGGCCGCTTCTGCGCTCATAGCGTAGCCGTCTATCCTCGTTTTCCTGAAGCCGGCCACAACACGCTCGCCGCTAATAATGATTAGCTGGGACATCAGCTCGAAAACGTGTTTCGCCGATAATTCGGTGCAGATGGGTTAGTGGATATGGACACGACTGTTTCCTCGCTCACATGACAAAGATTTCTCGTCGAAATTACTCGCTTGCATGCTAAAATAGAGGACCTGGATGACTCACGGTGTCATTCGCACCTTCGTCACCCGCCACGGTGCTTTGGTGCTCGACCGCGGGATCGAACGGCGGCCGCATTTTCGGTAGAGGTCCCCTGTAATTAGAACTAGGTGCAGAGGTGGTCGAAGTTTTCGGAACCCTCTACTACGGCGTCTATCATAATCATACCATGGATTTGGCACGTTAGATCTCAATTATAGTTATTAAAGACTTTTTACTGCAATAATTTGTTCGCGTGCTAGAATAGAGGACTTTGATCACTTGCGTCGTCATCCGCACTTTTATTCGAAACACCTTTCCACGCACAGACCATGTCTTCGAGATCACTTTTTTCTAGATGCCGATTCATTCCCCGAACGACAGTTTCGTACAATTAGCTCCCATCAGAAGTAGTCACTCAAAGCAATGCGCTACCTTGATGGAAGACAAAATTTTTGTGAAAATATTTATGGTTCCCTCTTTTAACGCTTCTTTGCATTTCTTGTGTTGATCATACGTCGAGGATTTGTCGTGCGTGTTGTATCGACGTACGTGTGTGTGCGTGTATGTGTGTGTTTTGTAAAAGGAACTGCAAAGGGCAATAGCATTTTGTGTCATGGTGAAAGGTCACTGCTTGACAACGTCTAAAACGTCACTAACTGCGCACAGTTGCGCTGTATAGCAATCGAGAAGTGAAGGTGAATGTAGCACACGATTTTCGTCACCGACGTGAGAACATTATGAAAAACATGCCCGATGACGTTACAGGGCATCAGTACAACGAATCGCACGTGCTACCCACGACAAAAATAGAACATCTAAGGCAAGTACACTTGTGCTACTCAGTCTCAGACAGGCTCGAGCAAAAAAAAAAGGGGGGGGGGGAGATATATGCACAAGATGCAACTCCGGCGCTTCATGAGAATTGTGTCATGTCTTTATAATAAGCAGACAGTCATGTTGGTTAGAGCTGCGCCAACTGAACAAAAACACCAGCCCCCAGCAGTTTATTTCGAGCCTTTTTAAAGCAAGCGGTATGAAAGGACAAAAAGGCAACACATGAAGGAAAGAGTCAGTGTGACGTGTGAACACTGATAATCTGCAGTCTGATACATCTCATCTTCCTGGTGCAATATAAAAAAATCAAGTTTAGGAAACTTGGCGGAAGCTGGCGCGGTAATGTAATCGTCGGGGTTCCGTGCGTTGCCTGGTCGACCTTCGTTCACCTGAAGAGTTGACACCTCCGTGGTCAGCCCATTGCATCGTAGTCGTGGAGTTCGCCATGCCTTGTTCACTGTGTATTTGCTCTTCTGGTGTATTGCAGCCCTGTCTCATCCGGATTGAACATGTTACCCGGGGTTGCGGCGTCGTGTTGATCCTCGCTCGCATCGCTTCCTGGTATATGCAGCAGGTGTTGCCTGTTTCGCCTCAGCATTCGCTGGTTGGCACTTAGAGCACCGAGTCTTCCAACACTCAGTCCCTCGAAACGGTGCCAGCAACTGTCGCCAATAAGGAAGGTGCCCTTTCGTCACAACACGCTTTCCCCAGAAAGTCGGTATTCACCATATACGACATTGGTGCGGCTTGCCACTTACTGTGGCTGTGCGTGATTAGTCTTCGTTATGAATGCACAACGACGTTCCCCTCTCGAGCAATGGTAGTGCCTGGCCTCTCGAAGACTGGCGATGCTTTTTCAATGGAATTCCGGGATCTTCTTGTATTTGGGCAGGGTCGTGCGTAGGTGTCTACTTTGAAGTGGCTCGCCTGGAGAGCGACCATCTTCAAGATAAGATGACCTATAGGCTAAAAAACCCAACCGAAAGTCACCGTGGGAGTCATTGATTTTGATTGATTTGATTGATATGTGGGGTTTAACGTCCCAAAACCGGCATATGATCACGAGAGACGCTGTAGTGGAGGGCTCCGGAAATTTCGACCATCTGGGGTTCATTAACGTGCACCCAAATCTGAGCACATGGGCTTAAAACATTTCCGCCTCCATCGGAAATTCAGCCGCCGCAGCCGGAATTCGATCCCGCGACCTGCGAGTCAGCAGCCGAGTACCTTAGCCACTAGACCACCGCGGGGCACCGTGGGAGTCATTGTTTTTTTTTTTTTCAGGATGCGCTTAACAATCTAGACCCCCTTTTTTGCCAGTACATTTGACCGCGGGAACTCCGGACTGGATGTGATATGCTGAAATTCATAATTTATGGTGAACTGTCGGAACTCTTGCGATCGGAACTGGCGCCCATTGTCATTGCATACTTAACCGGGATGCCGTACGTCAGGGAAATTGGAGCGGGCATGGTATACGATGACATAGGAGGCTCCACCAAACTGGAAAAGGTCGATTCCCACTCGGTTCCATGGCTTGCCCGGGATTGGCTGCATGAGCAGGGGCTCACTCGCCTGCTTGTATGCATACCTCTGGCAAGTACTGCAGCTCCGAATGAAGGAATCAATAGTTCTCCTGAATCCAGGCCAAAATAGCAATCTGTGTGCTCGCACCTTGCATTTATTTAGTCCATCGTGAACTCGTCAAAGAATTTCTCCTCTAATTGGTTTAGGTATGAACGCTTTGGAGCCCTTGAGTAGTATTCCTTCTACCACCGGCAGTTTTTCGGCAAAGGGCTTGAGTTCACCTTCGACCATGTCACCCCGTGAGATCCGTTCCTTCAGCTCGCTCAAACACGACTCATTCCTGGTTTCCTTCTGCAGCCGTGCTTTCACGGGCGTGCTTACAATGCCGGTGATGACCCGTGTCGCAAGGATTTCGATGTCTTTCAGAACACTCGATGACTATGATCGCACAGGTGCACGCGACAACATGCCCACCAGGACCAGGTCCTTGCCAGACATGAACTGCAAAGTGTATTTATATTGTAGAAGCCTGCAGATGAAAAAAAAACGCTGTAATCGTGGTGGCATGTCTCCAATGCCCTTCTGAGAAATGGCAAGTAGGGGTCTATGGTCCGTTTCAATTCATACCTTACGACCGTAAACAAAATGATTAAACTTCTCACATGCAAACACTAAACCTAGCGTTTCCTTTTCAATTCGCAAGTAACGGGTTTCGCAGTCGGTTAGTGTTCTTGATGCATACGTCACCGGGCGCCAGTCACTGCCATGTTTCTGTAGCAGGGCAGCGCCTAAACTGGTCCCTGAAGCATCGGCCATGATTTTAGTGTCCTTCTGGTCAAAGAGCGCGAGTAACGGAGGGTTCGTTAGTGCATCGCACACTGCCACCCATTCACGCTGATGTGCTGCAGTGCATTCAAACGTGACGTTTTCTTTCACAAGGCTCCACAGCAAGATTGTCTTATCGCTCAGTGAGGGTACATATTTGCGGAAACAGTTGACAACGTCCATCATTCTGCGCACGGCGTGTCTGTGAGTGTCGGCAGCGAACGGACGCTTTCAACCAGGTTGTGATTCGGACTTATTTTCTGCTCACCTATTACGTCACCCGAGAGCTCAATTTCTTTCAAACCAAAAAGGCATTTCTGCAGGTTAAAAGTCAGCCCTGCTTTTTGTGTGCGCTTCAGCACAGCTTCTAGGCGTTAGTTATGCTGATCCTTACTGTCACCTTACATTAAAACGTCATCTATGTATATTAGGACACCTGCCAATTCCTCAAATATTTCTGTTAACGTTTTCTGGAAAACTTCGCTTGCTGACGGAATTCCGAATGGAAGCCGCCAGAAACGGTAACGCCCGAACGGGGTCGCGAAAGTGCACACTGGTGATGTAGCTTCGTCTAATGGAATTTGGTGGAATCCCGCCTTGGCATCTAGCCGCGAAAAAAAATTTTGTACCTGACAGCTCTGCCTCAATCTCTTCCCTCGGTGGCATGGGGTAGTGCTCACGCTTTATGTTCTTGTTTATTGCCCTCGGATCCCTGCAGACCCGAAGGGCCCCACCTTTCTTACGTGCAACAACAAAAGGGCTTTGTAGGCTCGTCCACCTTTTGATAATAGATCTAGGCAGATTCCATGAGTTCCCACTCTTTTCGAAAAGGCTTCCTCAGAGCTAAGGGTACCCCTCGGGCTGGGTGCACGACTGGAACCGCATCCTCCCGCAGGACCATTCGGTATCGCCTTCCGACACAGTCCGTGCCTTGAAATATGTCTGGAAAAGCCTTTTCGGGTACCAGCTCGCTCCACCTTAGTGACCACAACTTTCGGGATAAGTCCAAATTGCTGACACGCGTGCAATCCTCATATGGCCTGGCGACCTTTTTTTGGCTATGAAGAAGGTCGCAGCATGCATCACGTCATTTAGCTACAACATTTCT